CAAAGTAGGTGCTGCTCCCCAAGATGGTAACATCACCAGAGACACACCTCAACTTCCCTGTGACAATAATAGGAAAAATTTAAAAAAAAAAAAAAAAAAAGAAAGAAACAAGCCAGTAAAATAGCAATAACAAGAAGATGGAAACATACATGTAGAACTCTGAATCCAGCCCAAAACTAAAAGTAACAAACAGTGATATGAAGAAGACGAGGAACTCTGGAAGGTAGGAAGGTCTATTTTTTCTATTCTCTGGCACCTGGGACACTCACTGCCCCAAACCTCACTGTGAGGAAGTGGATATCTCCTGAATGAGAGGCAGCCTCTGAAGAAAGGTGGACAAAGAACAATAAAATGAAATTAGTGGGCTGAGCTTCTTAAGAGGGGGAGAGAATGGCAAATAAGGTTTAGAATTTGCTAATGAAATGCTATGTCAGACAATCCCCACCCCCAGTGGGAAAGCACCCTGTCCAACCCACAGTTCAGAGGAGATGGCATCATCTGAATGGGAGACGGCCCCAAAAAGAGATATACAGGCAACCACAAAGTGCAATTAGTAAGCCGAGCTTGCTAAAGCAGGAGAGCAGCAGTAGTCTTAGCTTTACTGAATTGGACCCACTGAATTGGAGTTCTCATGTCAGTAAGAAAGCAGACAGCAAAATTGAGAAATCTTAGGACTAAAATAGAAAAGATCACTTTGATCTCATTCCCACTCCAGGCAAATTGGAGGGAAGAAAAGGGGATAGTACATATTGATTCCAAACCACATAAACAAAAGAGACCCATTAAATTGCATAGCTGTAAAGCAAAAGAAGGAACTCTCATTCTGCTTTGATAGACTTGAAACATTCAGATAAAAAAGAGAATGAGGGCTAGAGATAAATTTCCAAAGCAAAATGTATATACTATATGAAAAGTATTATGATCTATTTAGGGCTTTGAAATCAGAATGGAGACTCATATCAATGAAAGAAAAGGGAAATGTACAAGTACATCAGAATATCTGGCTGGCATTAGATCAGACAAAGGAGATCAACTCTTGCCCCAGATTTGTGGAGACTAATAATTTATACAGGAAATATGAAAAAGCTCTAAGTGCTAGAAGAATCATAAGGCTATCATCTCCAGTAGGGGAACTGAGAGGGAGAAAAAGAAAATAAATTAATGAATGAGGAAGAAAAAGAAAAGCCTGAAAAAAAAAATGGGAAGAAAAGAATGGCTAACTCAGAATTACCTCAGCAAGTTATTCAAATGCCCCAGCTTCAACAAAAGATTGTAAGGCATACAAGAAAACAAGGAAAAATGGCACAAGTGAAGGAACAACATGAAGAAGTAGTAATTATTCCCATAAAAGCACATATAATTTTAAAAAGAAGACTTTCAAACAACAAAATTAAATATGATCAAAGATTACAAGTTCACACAAATACCAAACTAATGGAGATCATAAGACAAAATAAGCATCTCAATAGAAACAGAAAACTTAATAAAGTAACAAAAAGAAATATTAGCACTGAAGAAAACAATCAATGAGCTGGAAAATGCAAAGGGGTATATAACATTACATGTGAGGAAGCAGAAAAAAAAGGAAGTGAACTAGAGCAGAAACAATGGAGATGATTGAATCTTGAGGTAAACAGAAGTAAAAACCAAAGAACATTAAACAAACCCAGATAGACCTATGTTGTTAAGTGCCATCAAGTTAACTCTGACTCCTAGCAACCCTTTGTAAAACAGAATGAAACACTGGCTGGTCCTGTGCAATCTTCACAATCTTTGCTGTGTTTGAGCCCATTGTTGCAGCCACTGTGTTTGCAAGACAATAATTGTTGTTGTTATTAGTTGCCATATAGTCAGTTTTGACTCATAGTAACCTTATGTGACACGGAAGAAAACATTGCTCAGGCCTGTGCTATCTTCATGATCATTGATATGTTTGAGTCCATTTTTGTGGTTATTGTGTTAATCCATCTTCTTAAGAGCTTCTATTTTTTTGACCTTCTCATTTACAAAATATGTCTTTTTCTAGCAGTTGATTTTTCCTGATGATGTGTCTATAAAGCGAGCTGAAGTCTCACCACCCTGCTCCTAAGTAGCATTTAACCTGAATTTCTTCCAAGACTGATTTATCTATTCTTATTCTTGTGGCAATCCCTATTCAATATCTGTGACCAGTGTCAAAATTATAATGCATCAGTTCTTCTTCTGATTTTCTTTTTAATTGTCCAGATTTCACATGCATATGAGGAGATTGAAAATATCATGGCTTGGATCAGGTCCATTTTATTCATCAAAGTGATATCTTTGCTACTTAAAATATCAAAGAAGTATTTTTGCAGCAGATTTATCTAATGCAATATGTTATTTGATTCCTTAATTGCTGCTTCCATGAGTGTTGATTATTGATTGGTTATTGATCCAAGTAGAATGAAATCATTGACGACTTCAATTTTTTAAGTTAAAAAGTAAGAGACCAAGTTTAAAGTAGGACTTACACACTTCCTGAATTCAAAGTATACTATAAAGCCACAGCAATAAAAACAGCCTGGTTTAAATAAAGCAATGGTATAAAATTGAGAGCCCAGAAATAAATCTATGGTGAACTGATTTTTGACAAGGATATTAACACAGAAAAAAACAGTCTCTTTCATAAATGGTGCTGGGAAAACTGGATTTCCACATGCATAAGAATGTAGCAAGAACTATGCTCCACCATATACAAAACTAATTAAAATCGATCATGGAGTTAACTCTGAGAACTAAAACAATAAAATTTTTAGAAGAAAGAATAGGAGTATGGCTATGGTAGATAGTTTTAAAAAATGGATTATCAGATATGACACCAAAGACATGAACAGTAAAAAATGGTACTCATACAAATTACTTTTGTTCATCAGAGGACTTTTCAACAAAGTGAAGAGATGACCTATAGATTGGGATAAAATTTTGAGGAATCATTTATCTGATAAGGGTCTAATATTCAACATACATAGAAAACTTTAACAACTTAACAACAAAAAGACAAATAAAATCCAATTTCAAAATGGGCAAAGGACTTGAATAGACATTTTACCAAAGAGAACACACAAATGACCAGCAACCACATGAAAAGTTGAACAAAGTCATTAGCCACCACAGACTTGCAAATAAAAACCACAATGAGATACCACTTCACTAGAATGGCTATGATCACAATGGTGTTTTTTCACGAAGAGAACTTAAATCCACTTCAGCTGATGTCAGCTGTCCCCAGTATGGAGTTGCTTCCCAGTATTAGACCAACAATGGCACTAAGGCTTCCACAGATATACTTACAAAGTTAGTGCTTGAAAGCTCCTACATAATTCTTGTATTGTCCTTATGTTCAGGCCATTGCTTTCCTGGAATATATTATCATCATGATTGACATGACTACTGATAAGCCTACTTAGAAAGAAATTCTGTATAGGTCTAAAAAAAATATATCTTTAGTGATAAGGGAGAAGATAAAGAAAGACAGAGGTATAAAAGGAGTTCTAGCTTATGAATTAAAAGTAGAACATTAAGAGTACCCTATCACAGAAAAAAAAAAAATGGCTTTAATGATAGTTGTAAGGATTCAGTATCAATACCACAAATGCAGACAAATACTGAAGTATATAAGGTAGACAAAATAGTTCATCTTTTGTAACAAATTTGCTATGTGCTTTGCTACAGGCAGTAAGCTATTAGAAGGTTAGAGTGATTATGTAAGGAGAAGGTATAATGGTAAATCAGAAAAGAAAATAGTAAAATATTGTTTTTGTAAACAATTTTCCAACAAAAGACTGCAGTGTAATTTAAGTTATAAATTAAAGAATAGACTGTGTTCTGGCACTTGTAGTTTTGATATCTTAAATTTTAAGCTTTTTTCTTGGGAGGAAAAAAAAAAAAAACTCACTGCCATTGAGTCGACACGGACTTGAAGCAACCCTTTGAATTTCCTAAGCAGTAAATCTTTAGAGAAGTAGATTGCCCAGACTTTCTTCCATGGAGTGGCTGGTGAGTTTAAACCACCAACCTTCTGGTTAGCAATCAAATGCCTTAGGCACTATGCCATCAGAGAAACTTAGAAGGTTGATGAAAGAACGAAACGAGATTAGTGTATGAAACTACTTTATGACCTCTATAAAGAAAATCATTTACTGTGATTTCCAAATATAATCTCACATATATTTTATTTTAATTGTTCAGTAGTAGAACATATTCATGTTAGATTTCACTATTGTGTGTCAATATAAAGTTAATGGATTTTTGTTTTACATTGCTATCATTTTAAAAAATTTTCCTTTAGCCAGAAAAATACTTCCCCACTATTTTTACCACATAAAACTCTTAATCCTTATATTGTGAGTTTTGGTATAATGTAAAATATTTCAACTATACCAACTTTAAAATCATATCAGTTGAGGAAAGTATTCAAACACCTAATGACTTTTCTGTACAGTGAGTAGGAACTTTTTTTTAACTTCTTTTTCCAGTTATATTTATTTTGCTGTAATCCTTTCCTATATAATCAGACCACTGTGATATTTTTTATTTCCTTTTCTGGTTTTCATTTCTTAAATTGATCAATTACTTCTACTAAGTATGATACTTTGAGTCAAATATTGCAGGTCTAAATTTTACTCCTCGACGGCACATAACAACAACAACAAATTTTACTCCAGACTAATTTCTCTGTCATTTAGTGAACTCTAACAAATATTTATATTTGATCGGGAACATTGTCACTTTTATATCATATTGTTTTTTCTATAAGTATGATTGCCTAAATGTGTTTATTATTTCTTAAAAATTGTGAATAAATACGCAAGAGGACATGGAAATGAAAAGGGGGAAAAATAGAGAAGTAGAAAGGATCAAAATAATTTGCTCTGCAAGGGAACAAATTCCATGCTATAACAATACATAGAAAGAGAGATCTTTGGCAAGGAATCAACCATAACATTTTAAACTATTTATAAAAATTCTCGGTCAATTACCTGCTTCTCTGCATCTTCACTTTTATTTGACCTTATCTTCTGTGGAACTGTGACATGCAAGAATATTTTTTCAGAATCTGCAGTAAGAAAATTGTTTTGTTTGCTTTGTATCAAAATCCATCTTTGTCAAGCATGGGTTAATAACCTTCATCTCATGACTAGGATACTGCTCTTATCAAAACTATAAATAAATTCATTTATATGTGAATAGCTTTCCTTTTTAGAACACAGCTTTAATTAAATTAGCTTTCCAATGACACAGTGAAAATAGCTAAGATTAAAGAAAAAGTGATATTACATTTCTACAGCACCATTCCTTTTTGTTTTTTTGTTTGTTTTCAAAACAACATCGGAACCTGTTTTCCTCAGGAACTGAGGAGTGAATTGAGTTGAGTACAGGCCCATCTAAATCCTCTGGCTGTAGAATGGGATGACACATGGAGAGCTTGTTCATATCTCTGCAGCCAATGAACCCCGGTCTCTGAAGCTGAGAATGGATTCATCCGCTAACATCTTAAACTCACAGGTTGGTCTTATGTTGGACCGGAGTATAAATGAAGGCTCCTGCAGCAGTTCAGGAAAGGAGGCGTGGGGATTACACAGCTATATGAAATTGTTCCTCCGGAAGAGCCCAGCCCTTCTCTGAGGCAAAACAAGGAAGGAGAAGGATCCTGTAACCTACCCAGGCTGGCGTGTATCCCTCCAACCTCAGCGAGAAGTACAAGGAGGAAGAACATGACTCGGCCAGACCACAGAGAGCGCGGCCAAGGATGAAGGCCGTTGGGTCAGCTCTGAGGCTCGCGACTGCCTTGACCACGGCTTGCAGCCGTGGGCTCTGGAGAGTTGAGGCCTATTGTTCCTTTCAGCCCTGCTTGGCTTGACATTAGGGATGTAGAGTGGCTCGGTGGTTTCCACAGCCAGGGGGAAAAAACTCTAGACACAAGCATACACATAGTACAAAACTTGTTTATTTTTGCGAGGTTTAAATTTTTAAAAACATTTCAATAGTGACATGGGGCAAATAAGCATGATTTGCCTTTCTTTGTCAGGCTGATTTCTGGTGAGGTTCTTGGTAATAGCCTATATCCTATTTATTCATGTCAGTGTTTCCTTTACTATTAAAAAAAAAAAAAAAAAGCAACTCACTGCTGTGGACTCCAATCCGACTCATAGTGACCCCTCCTTGGGTTTCTGAGGCAGTTGGTGGCATAGTGCATAAGGCATTTGACTGCTAACCAGAAGGCTGGTGGTTCAAACCCACCAGCCACTCCTTGGAAGGAAGGTTGGGCAATCTATTTCTGTAGTGATACTGCCTGAGAAACCCAAGGATGGGTAGCTTTGAGTTGGGTTGCACTCCATGGCAGTACTTGTTTGATCTTACCAAAGTAGATTGACCTGTCTTCCTTCCCAGGAGTGGCTGGTGGATAAAAATATAAACTGTTACTACTATAACCTTCCAACTTAAATCATGCCACTGATGGCTTAATAATTATCTTTCCATATAAGGAAAAGTCAGAAAAGTAAACTTGACCCTGATAACAATTTAAAAACCCTTTTTTTCAACTGTTTTAAAATATTATTCCTACAGAACTAGATTATAGTCTATCCAGAAAAGGGAAGTTTTAAATTGCAACATAAGTATATTTTCTAATCATTTATTCTAAGCTTAAACTGTAGAGATGGGAAGGGCAACAAGAAAAATGAAGAAAAGAAAACCGGACACCACTGTACTAGGAAGAATGTACAATTCCCTCCTCTGATGTTACAGCAGATATTTCAAATTACATACATCCAAAATATAATTCATCTACCACACCTCTCACCCAAATCTTCTGTTACCCCATTATATTATAAGGATGAATGTATCAGAGGTTGTAAAAATACACTCTGGTAAAATCTAAAACTTGGACCTACTGAATAGTGGTATAATTCTAAATATATTTATTTATATATATATTCTATACAATTACTAAAATGAGGCAGACCAAATTATCCTTACTTACCCAGAGAGGTCACCATGAGCCCAATGCACTCGATTTTTTTTTTTTTTTTTTTTAATGATTGCATTTGCCCAAAATGAGATAGAATAAGGTATAAACAACAGAGGCTAATACCAATATATCCACAATACTGCATTACCACTAACACCAAACACCAGGCTACAGATAAACACATAAACATCTGAGAAGATCAGATGGGGGGTCAATGAACATGATTATACCCTAGACCAAGGATAGATTCAGCAGAGGCTAATCTCACACAGATACCAGTGATACAAAATATCCACAATCCTTACAGAAACAACAGAAGACGGACATAGAGTAATCCCTCACGGACACCCAGCACTGTGGGAGAGAGATCCAATTCCCACTCTGTTATCATGGAGTAAAACTGCCTTGAAAGTTTGGACTGGCCAAACTGTCACATGAGAAACAGAAATCGAACTATTTATGGTTCTGCATTCTTTGTGTCATTGTTATGAGCCTTAGCAGTTACCATGAAGGGATAAATAGACAGGAGAGAGAGTAGTAGTGGAAAGTTGCCATACAGAAAAACAATAACTATAAATAAAAGGAACTCTGGTGGTGTAGTGCCTATGGCATTTGACTGCTAACAAGAAGGCTGGCAGTTCAAACCCACCAGCCACTCCTATAAATAAGATACTGAAAATCATTGAGTTTTTGAAGTAAAGAAGGTTGGGAATTAACATTGTGTGATTTCTATAATTATAAACATGTTCAAGGCCAATTCAACCAATTGAAAGGTGGGGAAAGTTGGTCATATTATTTGTCAGCTTCAATATTGAATTTTTGAATGCCTCACTGTTTCTCTTCACCCTCAGTGACAAGTTGCTATTGTCGTTAGTTCTATCCAGTTGATTCCAACTCATGGCATCCCAGGTGTGCAGAGGAGCACTGTGCTCCACAAGGTTTTCAAGTCTGTGACCTTTTGGAAGCAGATCATCAGGCCTATCTTCAGAATTTGAACCATGAACACTTCTGCTAGCAGTCAAACACTTAAATATTTGTGCCACCTAGGGACTCCTCAAAGACAGACTTCTAATGCCAAGCATAGTGGTTTCTTTCTCTATATAAATTATGTGTTGAGCAATATGCTTAGTTCTCTTTAATATAAAAATTTACAAAGAGTTATATTCATGAATGAGATAAATTGTTTGTATTTAGTGTTGTGATGGTTAATTTTATGTGTAGTGTTGTGATGGTTAATTTTATGGGTCAACTTGACTAGGCTATGGTACTAATTGGTTAAAAATTAGTTTCTTATTGGTTTCTTCTTGTTGTTGTTAGGTGCTATGGAGTCAGCTCTGAGTCACTGATGTTATGTTTAATAGAACAAAATGTTATCCAGTCCTGAACCATCCTCACAATTGTTACTATGTGTGAGCCTACTGTTGTAGCCACTGTGTCAATCCACCTCATTGAAGTTCTTTTTTTGTTGTTGATCCTCTAATTAACCTAGCATGATGTCTGTTTTGGTCACCTACTGCCACTCTAACAGACGTACCAAAAATGTATGACTTGAACAAACAGGAATTTATTCTCTTACAGTTTTGGAGGCTAGAAATCTGAGTAAAGTGCCAAGCTCTAGAGACTGGGTGAAGGCCCCTCAACTTTGGGTTTCAGTTCTGTCTCTTGTTTCCAACCTGCTGGAGCTGGAGGAGTCTTTTCACTCAGGCAGCTGCTGGCTGCTGAGGTTGACAAACCCAAGGTTGACAAATAAAATGGCACAGTCCCAAGATTACCAAACAACATGGCAGGCTACTAGTTCAAGATCAGAGATAGTCTCAAGATTGGCAGGAAACATAGCTGATGAATGAAGACTCAGCTACATGCAGGGTCCAAGCATGCCAAAAAGCTCTCCAGACATCTTTCTTAAAGCTACTTCTTATATACCAGAAGCAGACAACATCCCAAAGGCAGCTACTCAGCTGCTTCAGTAGATTCCACTAGGGAGGTGATTACCAATTTCATCATGGGGAATAACTACAGCCAACTGCCCAGCCACTCAAAACCAGCCCCAGCCAAGTTGACACACAACCTTAACTACCACAATGTCCTTATCTAGCAGTTGGTATGTGTTGATGACATGTTCAAAGTAAGTGAGACAAAGTCTCTACAACCTCACTTTTAAGGGACATTCTGACTGTACTTCCTCCAAGACTTGTTTTTTCTTCTGACAGTTCATAGTATATTCAATATTCTTTGCCAAGACTACAATTTGAATGTGTCAGTTCTTCTTTGATCTTCTTTAATTGTCCAGCTTTTGCATGCGTATTAGTTGATAGAAAAGACCATAGTTCACGCTAGTCATCAAAGTGACATATTTGCTTTTTAAGATTTTATAGAGGTCTTTTAGCACAGATTTGCCCAATGCAGTATATCATCTGATTTCTTAATTGCTGCTTCCATAAATGTTGTTTGTTTATCTAAGTAGAATGAAATTATTGACAAGTTCAATTTCTTCTTTATTTATAATGACATTTTTTATGGCCCCAGTTGTGCAGATTTTCATTTTCTTCATGTTCAGTGTTAATCCATACTGAAAGCTGTAGTATTTGATCTTCATCAGAAAATGCTTCAAGCCATCATCATTTTTGGCAAGCAAAGTTATACCATCTGCATATCACAGGTTGTTAATGAGTCTTCCTCCAATCCTGATACTGGTTCTTTACATATACAGGTTTTTAGATTGTTTGCTCAGCATACAGACTGAATAAATACAGTGAAAGGCTATAACTCTGCTGCACACATTTTTAAAATTTTAAACCAGATGCTGTTATGAAGTAGGTACATGTGATTAAATCATTTGGTCTTGAATACAGTAGGTGAATTTCCATAATTTCAGTGGGCCTCAATACATTATTTGAAGGTCTTAAGAGTGAAAAGGGAGTTTTCCCTAGGGAAAATTCTACCTGCAGACTATAGTTAAGACATTTTTTCAGAGTTCCTGAACTCTTCCCTACCTATATATTATGGACCATAAGACTGATGGACTGTCTAACCTATTGAATAACTGACAGATTTTAGACTTGTCAGCCCCTTAATCCAATGAGCTAATATCTTAAAATTATCTATTTGTCTATCTATCTATGTATCTCTTATAGATTCTGCTTCTCTAGAGAACCTTGATTAAGACAATTGCCTTGTACATAATTAGGAATTACTGGAAAATATAAAAAAACTTGGACAAATCATTATTTTTTTATATTTGAAGATGATACTTGTCAGATTTTTTTTTTTGTTTTTTCTGATTTGGGTGAAAGTTTACAGAGCAAATTCACTTTTCATACAGCAGTTCACACACACGTTGTCTCATGACATTGACTACAATTTACCCCAATGCAACAGCTCCCTCCCATTTCCCCCCAATAATTACCTCTTCCCTGTGTCCATCCCTCCATGTACTCCTGCCCCCTGAACTGTGTTCCTGTGCATAAACAGCCTTCTTTCTCCCAATTGTTCTCTCCAAGGAGTATATCTAC